CTCTCACCGTACCCGATACTTGTTTTTCTGCGGGACCCCGCGGGCCCAATGGCGAGGACCCTGCGCGCCCACCAGTGGCACGACTGGGTTCCCCTTGAAACTGATGGTTCGCAATCTGCCGCTCGTTGTTCGCAATGCTATAAGGTCTCGTACGACGAGCAGCGACCAGTGCTCCAATGTCCAGGCCTCAGCACGGCGCTGAAGAGGCTCGTCGGTGCTGAGAGCGAGCGAGGGCACCTCCTCTGCGCGGCCAGCGTGCTGACGGCAGGAGGTTTGCCACTGATGTTTTGTTTTCGTTGCGGACGTACATCAGTCAGAGGTGCTTTAAACTGGTGGAGTCAATGCCCTGGCTTTCCTGGGCCCAGTGGCAGATCCGCACTTGCTCTGGTAAGACGAGGGTCGTCTCCCGCATTGCAGGCGCGGCGGCACGGTCTCTGCCGAGGTATCCGTTTCTGGCCGAGGCTCGGCGCAGGAGGTGCTGCGGGTGGCAGCGAGACCCATGCCGCGCCTGGCCACCCCTGCCACTCGCCTCATCCAATCTCCCGGGATGCAGGCACTGGCGGCCCGTATTCAGGCCAGAGAGGAAGCTGCGGCTGCTGCAGCCGCAAGCTTGCTTTAAGTGATTATGCTGCGTTCTCAAAGAAAACTCCTCCTCCTCCTCCTCCTCCTCCTCCTCCTCCTCCTCCTCCGACTCCTCCTCCGTGCTCCCTGCTGCTGCTGCTGCTCCTCCTCCTCCTCCTCTTCCTCCTTCGCCTCCTCAACCTCCTCCTATTCCGCCTCCTCCTCCTCTTCCACCCACCCCGCGCGGGGGTATGATGAGGATTGGGGGATGGAGAATGATGACGAAAAAGGGAACGGAGGAGGAGGAGGAGGAGGAGGAGGAGGAGGGAGAATGAAGAGGAGGAGGAACAGGAGGAGGATGAGGAAGATGAGGAATGAGGAAGAGGAGGAGGAGGAGGAAGAAGGGGAGGCGGACGAGGAGGGGGAATGATGATGATGATGATGATGATGGTGATGGTGATGATGATGATGATGATGATGATGATGATGATGATGATGATTATGAGGATGATGATGATGGTGATGATGATGCTGCTGATGATGATGATGACGATGCTGGTGATGATGATGATGATAATGTCGCGGATAATGACGATGCTGGTGATGACGGTAGGATTATGATGATGATGATGATGATGATGATGATGATGATGATGATGATGATGGTGCTGATGCTGATGCTGATGCTGATGCTGATGATGATGCTGATGCTGATACTGATACTGATGCTGATGATGATGATGATGATGATGATGATGATGATGATGATGATGATGATGATGATGATGATGATGATGATTGCGATGATGGTGATGCTGCTGCGGTTTCATCGGATCCACGCTCGTTTCAGCACTACGCCGCAACTCACGCCGTTACAGAGCACCGACCGGAGCAACCGCCCTCCGAGACCCAGGAAGCGCCTCGGAGAGCGCACGCCTCAGCCCCCGCGGGGACGGCCCACAACAAGGGGGCCAAAGGGGGCAGAAGACGAAGAGCAGGACGGCGGGGACCGAGGGGGAAAGAGAAACGACGACCCCCAGAGGCGCAGAAAAACGACAGCGCGAGGGGACGGGAGAAACGGCGCGGGGAGGCGACAGCACCGACGAGGCGGGGAGAAGGGAGGCAGAACGACAGGAAACGGCGAGGGCGGGGCGGGCTTGTCGGAGGTCATGTCATCTCTCGTCTGGCCTGCGCCCGTGGAGAGCCTAAACCAAATCAAGGTCTTGCGTACACAGCTTCCGTGCGGCCTGAGACGAAGAGGCACGAAGCCCAGCAATGTGAAGGGGCCCTGGGACAAACAAATAAAGACACACAAATAAAAGGATTCCCCATATTTTCCTATACTTTCTGGGTTTCTGTCTTCCCCCCCACTGCCCATATTTCCCTATATTTTCTGGGGAATCGACGATTAATTGTGTCCGTGTGTTTTTTCCCTCCTGACAATAATCGACCCAGTCGTCCGAATGTTCCGCCGCACGATAGCATCAGAAATGTGGGTCTGACGGAGAGAAGTGTGCCACATTCAAGGTCGCCCACGCAGCCAGCCATCTGACACAGCTGCTGCACCAGCTCTGCATGCAACATCTTGGACCACCGCCGCTCAGCAGCGAGAGCACACAGGCCGGAACGATGAAGAAGCCAGTCTCGGAGGTGACGGTCTTCAGCGGCCAAGGCACCCCGCACCACAGTACCTTCCACAAAAGGTAACATTGCTTTGCAACGACGTTCTTCCAATACAGGGCGATGGGGCGAAGTCTCTGCGATACCATGGGTGCTCGATCAAGTCGAGGGGATGCCGGCAAAGCGGCCTAGGGCAGCAGCAGGACCAGGAGGGCACTCACGGCGCACCTGCTCGGCGATGAAGAGACGGGCAGCGAGAGCTCCAGCAGGTGCCGGGAGCTCAAGAAACATGGGCAGAGCACGGCCATGATGCTTCGGCCGCTTGCAGGAGGAGGAGGAGGAGGAGGAGGAGGAGGAGGTGTCGTGGGTCAGGTGGGCGGTGGGGAGGCCGTGGAGATCGACGGCCACCGGGGCCAGGGTCGGCACCGTCCTCCTCGTCGTCAGGAAGATCGGGTCGAGGATCGCGGGGGGCCCAGGAGGCCCAGGAAGGACAGCGGCACCAGCAGGGCGAACAGGCCGGAGCCAGAAGGTTTTTTTTTGTCCCCCCCTCTAGATGTGCTGCGTGCGCGGTGTTGGCAGCGTCTAGGGACGTGCATTGAACACAGAGCCAGACGGCAACCTCCGCAGGCACAGACGAGAAGCGGTGTCCACGATCCACCGCCACAGCAGGCGAGGCGAGCGGCCCTCGACGATGCTCGAGCTGTTCGCAGGCTGAGCCCGCAGCACACGCGAGGCACCATCCCCAGGGACTGAGCACGAATCGGTACTTGAGCTTCGTGGCATCAGCGGCCTGACTGATGCATGGATGCGCCCGCCTGCCACCCTCTGTCTGTCGAGCCAGCCACTCGATGCGGCCAAGGCGAGGCATCCCAGGCGCCAGGGGCGGCGGATCAGGTGAAGTCTATAGGACACGCTCCAGCAGGTGCTGGAGCCAGAATGGCGATGATGATGTGAGGATGATGACGAGGAGGCAGGCCGTGGAAGTCCAGTCAGCAGTAAACAATGTGAGTCCGCAGCCCGCAGAGCGGGACGTCGGAGGAAGCGGGAGCCCCTCACGCAATAACCTCGCCGAAGAGGAAGCAGCGGATGAGGCGGCGCACCGCGAGGGGGCGCACGCCAAGCACGACGAGGAGGCAGCACAACGCAGACAAGATCCAGCCCGGGCGACAGAAGACGGCGAGCGTGACGCCCAAGGGGAGGTCCGCCAGCCGCATCCGGAGGCACGACGCCGAACTCAGAGCAACAGGTCCCGGATCCATTCTTATTCTCCGTCCTGGAGCACGACCATCAGGGCGCTCCCCTCTCGCTGCTTGGCCGTCAGGGTGGTCAAGAGGATAAGCACGCCGGGCGTACAGTCGGGGCGTTGACCTAAGGAACCCTAAATAAGGAACGGGGCCCCTTTCTCCCATAAGTTGAACTTCGATTTCCCATGGGAAACCTCAGGAAAACAGAAGGCAAACTGTCGAACAATCAAGGAACACCGAGCCCCTCCCCAACGAAAAGGGTTCCTTCTCCAGGGCCCCGGCTGTACAGCTAGGCGAACAGGCAGAGCTTGGGGCCTGGAGAGCGCCCGCGGATCTCCCAGGAAGATGACTGCAACCACGATACCCTCGCAGTGATCACAACAATCGGCCATTCAAGATCACCCACACGGTGAGTGAACCGGTCCACCTTACTGTCTTGCCCGAGCGTGTCAACGCGATCGAGGCGTGTCATCACCTTTTGAATTTGTTGTTCGAACTCGTCGGCACGATCACCTATGAGCTTCAGCCTCTGCGCTGGTTGCTGGGCGAACACTGTCACCTTCTCGCTCATGCCGTCCACCGACGTTGCGGCAGCCGTGCCAACGGCAGGGGCAACGCAATCTCGAACAATCGACGACACCGTTTCGCTCAGCAGAGCAGTGGCGCAGCCCTTGATCATCACGGGTGTCGGAATGCGCTCGGTCAAAAACTGCATCTGCGCCTCCATGGCCTCCAAGCGGCCCGCGTTGAAGGCACCACTCTCCTCGCAGCAATATGACACAGAGGACGTGGATGAAACCATCGCGGTAGAGGTGGTGTAGGCCATGTCCGCCATTCCGTCCATGGTGTTGCGCAGCGTCGCGATGGGTGAATGTTGCGTCTCCACGAATTGCTGATACACAAATCGTATCTGGCCAATGCCGACTCCAAGATAGCGGAAACAGGTTTCGATGGGAGATATGCGACTGAGCTATACTGCGCATCCGCCAGAGCCTCATACGAGGCTGGCTGCGCAGAGTTAGATGTGCGGCCACCCTCGATCAGAGCATGCGGGACATATGCAGTAGCAGACGGGACCAATATACACCAGGAGAACGTGTGCTAACCCTCGGAGCAACCACCGAAGTGCAAGAGGATGACAGAAACCCAGTTGGAAACCTATGTCCACAAGCTTCGGCGACACACGTGGACACACTCTGCTTCGTAACGTGCTCGCGTAGGTGGTATCCGAAGTCAATCTAAATCATTATGTTGCGCAGCTTGGGCGAATCATCTTTCGAGTATCGTGCCACCGAAGATCATCGTTCGAAGTGCACGCCATGTCTGTGCGCCAATCCACGCAGCAGCTGGCCCCGCAATGAAGGGACCAATTCTGAACGTCCATCCTGTTCAACATAAAGGCGTCCGCGATGGGACGACAGGAAGAACAAGAACAAAACAAACAAACAAAGCAATACAGCAACTCCGCTTGCGCCACAATGGCTACGGAGGAGGCAGGAGGCAGGAAGCAGGAGGAGGGGCCGCCAAGGGGCGGTGTGGGGCGGGGAGGCCATGCCTCTTGTGCCCCCCGTCAGCCGACAGCGTGGCGAGCTTGCCGCCATCGATGGGCCCCTCGGCCGTGGCATCCTCTGCCCTGAGCTTCTCCACGCAGTGCCCCAGCCGGAGCGACCTCAGGAAGTCTGCCACCTCCTCCGCGTTCCACTCCGGCAGAGGCCGCGCTTCCCGCTCCACTCTGTCTTTGGCCACGGTCTCCTCGCGCTCGCGCGTGGCTCTCTGGGAGTCGCGGATCACCGCAGAACTTCCAGAAGCCCGTCTCCCCGAGGAGCCGTGCTGGTCCTCCTCCCGCTGCTCCTGCTGCTCCTCCTCCCCCTCCCGGCTGCTCGTGGGGGTGCGGCCGTCGCTCCGGGAGGCGCCGCCGTCGCTGCGCAGGGGGGCTTTCTCGTCCCTCCCGAAGGCGTCGCCTGCTCTGCGGCTGCTCCGCAGTATGGTTTCCCAGTGCGTCCTGTGGCGGGGCTTCACGAAAAATGCCCAGAGAACGACCAGAGTCCAGACTGAAAACAGAAGTACCCCGACGACGTTCTCGACAGTGTCGAGCCACTCGAACGTCAGCTCAGCATCCCTATCGACACTCATGCCATCCACGACCTCGACGCGCCTGAGCTTCGTAGCGTTCATGCTTATTAAGTGCCCTTCGAAATCAAGTCTGTATGGGTACAGCGTGGCCACCGCGGCGACAAATACGGTCACGATCGCAGCAAGGAGATACCAATCTGTGAAAGTCTGGTACGGAACATTGGGAAGGTGCTCGTTAATGCCAATCTTGTTGGCCACCAACGTGAGCACCCCCGAGGCGTACATGGCCAGCCGGTCGCCGAGGAAGTCCACGTCTGGCGGCAAGCCGAGGGGGAAACAGGATAGCATGGTGATCAGGTAAGTCACGACAAACACCTCAGGATACCCTTGCTCTCATTTTGGAGCAGTTATTCTGAGATGTGTCTACAGCAAAAAACCAAGGATGCAAAATCAAAATGCGATGCCTGCGCGCGTCAAAGTGGGAACGCTGACAGCGGCATCAGGCCAACACATCTGAGATATGATGGGCCGATGAAGCAAGGATGTAAGGGCTGCCCTGACATAACACTGCCCTGTTACTGTAGATTTCACTGGTTAGACGTTAGACGCCCGCCAGCAGATTCCCTCCCCTCCCCCAGTCCACTCTCTTCCCTCATCGCCTTCAGGACCTGCAGGCGCTGCTGTGGATCAATAGACGGTCACAATATAGTGCGAAACAGGGCTAAACTTGAACGCAAGCTTCAAACGTAAGAAACTTCCATGAATCACTCGTGTCCACCACAGTGTCTTAGGCACTGAGTGAAGTGTCGTCAGGTCCTTCCGAGTACTACGTGTAGTGAGTACTATAGGTACCCTGTCAGGGGCCCAGGCGCTAAACTCACGGATTTCCAAGGGCGTCCCACTTGATTTTCCGGGATTGTCGCGTGACTTCTCCAGAAGTGTTGGGCGCGTAGAATGGGACACGCATGACCAACATTGGGGCCATCCTTGGAGCCCTCTTGGAGGCCTCTTGGGCAGCATCGTCCAAATTCCACTGGCCAGTGTTCGCGCACGTGTTTTTGTTCCTGTCTTGACATAACCCATGACGGCCCAATAGGCCCCCCCACTATTGACTTAAAACGGCCCAGGGGGGCCCCAAGAAGGCCCAAGAGGTCTCCGAGACGGCGACAAGAAGAGCACACAAGAACCACATCATTTCCCCCTAAAGCCCCCAGAGACCCTCCAAACACCACCGAGAGTGCTCCAACAGGTCCCCCCAAAGAGGCCTGCAGGAGGCATTCATCAAGCGCCCTAGAGGCACCCCAACAGACCACAAGAGGCATCCAACCGGCCCCTGGTCCCCCACAACTCAGGCGCGGTGGCGGGATGGGCCGCAAGCCGGTGGATCCGCCGCCCCCTGTCGCTTCAGCAAAGCGGTGCCCGGCGTGCCAAACCCTATCGGTTTTGGTTTTGGTTCTTTTTCCAAAAGAACTCTCCCAATGGGCTCCGGCGCGTCCCGCCGGGGCCGCGGAAGGCCCGGAAACGAGCTCAACGACCGCAAAAAATCCTCCAAGATGGCTCGACATGGCCTCCAAGACGGCCAAGATGGCCTCCAAGTCCGCCCAAGATGGTCCAAGACGGCCTCCAAGACGGCCCAAGAGAGTCCAAGACGGCCCAAGACGGCCCAAGGGCCCCTCCAGAGGCCTACCAGACGGCCCAAGAGGCCTCCAAGAGGTCCTCCAGGAGGGCCCGAAGAGGCCAAAATCATTGTTTGTCCTTGGGTTTTTGAAGGATTTTGGAATTTGCTTCTTCTCTGCATTCCGACGGCTCAAGACGGCCCAAGAGGCCCCCAAGATCGCCCAAGAGGCCCCCAAGAGGGCCCCATGACAGCCCAAGTGGCCTCCAAGATGGCCCCAAGAGGGCCCCAAGACGGCCCACGAGGCCTCCAACACGCCCAAGATGGCCTCCAAGACGCCCAAGATGGCCTCCAAGACGGCCCCGAAGCGCCCCAAGAGGGTCCCCTGTTGGCCCAGAAAGGCCCCCAAGACGGCTCCCGACGGCGTCAGACGTGCCAGGAACCCACCAAAATGGCCGAAGTTGGCTCGAAGCTGGCCCAAGACGGCCCAAGAGGCCCCCAAGAGGGCCTCCAGGAAGGCTAGAAGAGGCCAAAAACATATATTGTCCTGAGGTTTTTGACGGATTTTGACATTTCCTTCTTTTCGGCCTTCCGACGGCCCGAGACGGCCCAAGAGCCCCCAAAGATCGCCGAAAGATCGCCCAAGAGGCCTCCAAGACGGCCAAGATGACCTTCAAGATGCCCACGTGTTCCCCGAAGGCTTTCCAAACCGACTCGGGGAACACATGGTCCGATGGCTTGGCAGGTCTGGCCTCAACGTTCGGCCACATAGGCGCTTCCAAAAAGGCAGGGGGCGGCGGTGATTCGCCGCAGGCGTCTTCGATCCGCCGCCATCTCCTGCTCTCAAGAGGGGTGAGGGGTTGTTGGCGCGCCAGACATAAACCGTTACAGCCGTTCCAACAATTTCCCACGGGGGTCCAGCCAGCGACGCGGAAAATGGATCTCCAAATGGCTGTCCCGTCCGGATCAGCTCCAGTATGCTTTCGAAAATGCCGGAATGGCCTCTAAAACGGCCCGATATGGCCTTCAAAGAAACCGAAATTGCTCAAAGATGACCGAACACGGACCAAAACTGCAGCAAAACGGCCCAGGATGGCCTCACGACGGCCAGAGAAGTCGAGATAATCCGTTTCGCCGGTAAAACATCATGTAAGCTGTATGGGATGTATAATACAAGGGGCAGTGATCGGAAGGGGGGTTGGGATGTTTTCCCGCAAATAGCGTGCACCGAAATATCCAAACATCTAGGGCGCGAGCGCCTTTCGGAACCCGACCCCAAATCGCGGCGGGGTGATACTACAGACACTTATCCTGAAACCACCAGGCAAGGCCCCCTTCCAGTCGGGAGGGGGACAAAGAGAAAGGCGCGTGTCCCCCGCAAAATAAAACACGCACAGCACTGACAACAACAACTAAAACGCTACAGGTTAAGAGTCCTGTTGTGCGCAGCTCGAAAGACACAATTGACCGAACCAAAACGGAATGCAAAGTTCGTGCAATGCCGCTCCCAGTCTGAAAGTTCCAGCCATCAGCGGGATCGCATCACCGTTATGTGGCTCCTTCGAGGAAACAGAAGCGCGCACCTTAGCGGCATGAGCAAGCGAATGAAGAGTATGAGCAACACGTGAAGAACACAACCCGCCCTCATATAGGACATGGCGAGGAGCGCGTTCAACCAATGGGAGCACGGCGTTCTCTCGCACGCCAGCAAACGAAGTGATATGCTTTGTTGGACAATGCTCACCGTCGCCCTTTCGAAGCCGCCAGGATGCCACGTGCCCGAATGAGGTTCTGCGAAGCGGGCCGAACGTCTCAACCTCGTGATTGATCTTGTGTTTGTCCATCATCAGTTCCAACGACTTTCCGTCGATGCTACATGCGGCATGTCCGTCTACAGTCGTGTCGCGTGCATCTCACCATTGCTCGTTGTGTGCGGCTTCTACCTCCTCCAGTACTCGTCTCCAACGAATGTGTCCTAGAAGCGTACGTCTGGTCTGTATCCTCATATCCTTACTCGATGAAGATTTATAAGCCAATTCCGCATCAACAATTAACGACATGTTGATCGATCGCCCGCCTACATCTCGAATGTCACGGAGAGCTTGAGGCGTCAACGGACAGACTTTAAGTCGGGTGATTAAAGTCAGCATCCGTCCAAATTGTGAACCGTTGTAAGTGTTTCGGCGGCATGGATAGATCGAGTTTGTACCCAATGAGGTTTGCAAAAACCATCTGCGAAGAACATGGCGGGCTCGAAATTACGCGAAACATATCGCCTCATGAGATTGGCACCGGGTAGGCCGTATCCGCTGTCTCCTCCGTCGCCGGTAAGTTTCCTGTGCCCCGCGTCGCTGCGTCTGTCTACATATCCCGAAGATGCCATTGCAGGATGAGCGATGTTCTTGGGATCACTTATGAATTTCCTCGTCGCAACAATGAGCCTTCCACCTTGAATGTCAGCGCGATACTGAGCCCTGCGCGGGGATACATGCCATCAATCAAGTATGCGCCAAGAGCGCGCGAGCGAGTGCACCCCGCAAGCTGACGAACATGTCGGCTACTATCTTAGAAGCTTCGTCGCCAGGTGTAGCACCAATAAGATCGGCATGTGCGAAGGGTCGGAATTTTGATGCATTCATCCTGCTCAAGTATTACGTCTCCGTCTTCGTTTCAGTGTATCCCGCTGCGTCGTTTGTGAACGCATGTTTGTCCAACTTTCCAATTCAGAATATGTTCTCCACTCCTTGAAAGCAGTCGTCAATGTGATTACCCAGATCCGCCGCGTTCATGTCGTCGACGTTTTTTGCAGCCGAGAGTTCGTTTCCGATTTCGGACTCCCGATCGAGACGCGCGGGCTGGTGACCGATGTTGCGCTATGTGCGTCGCAGCTTCGGGTGGGGCGCGCAGAGGGCGCCCTTTGTGCCGGCGCCTGGTTTCAAACATTGGAGGCAGCGTTGACTGTCGCCGCAATAGCTAAATCCCGGCAGCGCGCAACGCAGCTGCGCACTGCCACGGGGGCAGGGAGAAGCACGTCATGCGCTCCTGCTCTCCTGTGCCTTCCGAAAGCTCGGCGTAGGTCAACTCACCCAGGAAGGCCGTCTCAACGCCCATGGAGGCGAGCGCCCAGTAGGGGTGCGAGGCCGACTCGCTAGCCAACGGGAATAGCGTCGTTCGGCGCGCAGCGACGGAACGCGTTTCCTTGACAGCGGCCCCCGCCCACATGGAACAATCCAAGCGCTGAGCGGAGCCGCGCAGCAAGAGCCATCTCGCCGCTGGCCCCTTTAACGAACTTCCACCTGCAGCGTGAGGTCACGACGCTACTGCCCTCAAAAGATTCTTGGCATCTCGAAGAATCGATTGTCCATCCAACGCATAGTTCATTATACAGAGTTTCGGAGACGCTCTGGGGACGTTGCTCAATGTCTTTCTTCGTCAGCATATGGCACTCCTTTACAGCCGACGCCCGCTTGGCATCATGCACGTATACTTTCAGTTTGCGACGCCGTCATCGTCAAGAGCTCATCGCTGCGTAGTTAATTCTTTATTGTGTGATTCATCTAGCATGATCTTGGCCATGCTGGATGCGAAGCATAGTCCGACGAATCCCCGCGGCCGGCTATTTCCAGGGCGCATGTGGCCCGCGCGCCTCGACGCAGCCCCTTGCAGGCTCCTCCCACAGCCATCTGGGGCGCGTTCCCGCAGCCAGGCGGCGCCGACCCTCTGCGGCAAAGTCTGGCGCTCTCGGCGTCGTGGTGAACATTCGGATGCCCCCGCCCCTGGAGCCGCGGGCGTTCTTCATTCTCCGCGGCGCACTGGCGCGCACTGCTCATCGCGCTCCTGCGCCTGCTGAAGTGGTTTCGAACCCTGGGCGCGGTCGCCCACGCCGTCCCGCCCCCGCTGCCGGCAACTGGAACGCGCGAGCGGATCGCCTCTGCCACGCCGCGACGGGAAAAAGTTCCCAGGCCGCAGTCCCCGTCGAGGTCAGAGGGCCAGCAGGGGACGGCAGATTCCCTGCGTCCTCTCGCGAGTCCAGGCTCGTCGTATCCGACGGATTTCAGCGCGCACTCATCTGCAGTCGCGACGGGTACTCAGGTGGAGTCATCGTTTCCCCCAGCTGTCGGTCGTTGGTCTCCAATTCCCCGAGCATGCGTCGACCTCTTGTTCTTCTTCAGGGGTGGTTGACAGACTACTTTCATCGGCTTCCGATGGTGCCCTGGGAGTTTCAGGATCAGCTGGGCCCTCGCCGGTCCAGACTTGGCTACCTGGGGTCCATCCACCAGCTCCTGGGGTTTCCCAAGGCTGCATTGCAACCCACTTTAAATCGTTGGAAGATGAGGCATTGCATAACCATTGGGCGGCTGGCCCCATGGATCTGCCTGCGCGATGTGAAGCCCCGTTCCGCTGGGCTCGCGAAGTGGAACCCAGGACAAATACCGCTATCATAGTGTGATAAGGTAATTGCCCGCATGTTCTCAACTACTCTGACAGAGATGGCACCCTCGATCCTGCAGTTTGGGTCTTGATCGGGCACGGCAGAGCCACGTGTACATTGAGGGGGAGCTGTTTGGCAAGGGTGGTCCGTAGGCCCTACCTGTCGCCCGGAAGATCACCGGAGATTTGAGCGAAAAAGCCCGGCCATTTGCTCGGGGGGGCACGGTCAGCCGGTCGGAATAAGCAGAGGGGGGGCACAGGGGAAAAGGGGGGAGGCACGGGGAGCTGTTGAGGCACAGTAAAGCGACCGGCGTGCTGACCCCCCCCACCTTCGCGACAGGAGGTGCGTCGCGCATTCGTCGCCCGTGCGCCGCCCGTGCGTCGGCCGCCGAAAAAGCCAGCCGTCCTCTCGAACGTGCACGTCGCCCTCGCAAGGGGCCCATTTGGCTCCCCGGGGGAGCCACGGACGGGCTGGGGTGGCGCGCTGTCGGTCGGTCGGAATAGGAGGAGCACGGGGGGCCGCGGTCGGGCAAGGGAGGCGCGGTCGGCCGGCCGGAATAAGCAGAGAGGGAGGGGCACGGTCGGGCAGAGGGGGGGCACGGGGGGCCACGGTCGGCGGGCAGGGGGAAGTGCAGTCGGGGGCACGGTCGGTGAATCGGCATAGGCAGAAAGGGGGGGGGGCACGGAAGGAAAAAAAAAAAGGGGGGGGGGCGCGGGAGGCCACGGTCGAACAGGGGGGGGCGCGGTCGGTCGGCCGGAAGAAGCAGAGGGAAAGGGCACGGAGGGCAGTGGAAATGGACGGGGGGCACGGTCGGGCAGATGTGGGCGGAGGGCGCTGTCGGCCGGAATAAGCACAAGGGGGGGCACAAGGAAAAGGGTGGGAGGCACGGGGTGCCACGGTCCGGCAGGGGGGGGGGGCAAGATCGATCGGGTGGATTAAGCAGAGGGCGGGAGCCACGGTCAAGCAGGTGGAGGAGGCACGGTCGGTCGGTTGGAACAAGCGGCACACGTGCCAAGGATCATACAATCACGGATGCGGGATATTGGGAGATGGAGGTGTCACCAACCTGTGGTAGTTTCGGAGAAGCGCGCGAGTGCTGCGACGCGATAGCGAATGACCATAACGGGGGAGCGGCGAATAGCAGCATGGCTGTGCGGACGCAGCGCCAAGTTCGATCTGAAGGCGACCTTAATATGACGGGAGAGGTCTGCGAGGCTTCAACGGCGTGCTTCATGACGAAGGCCACTTGTATGGAGCGAAACGTTTGGTTTCAAGGGGGGGCGCGATGGTATGCGTAGCCAAGATCCGCCACTGTGTCTTCAGCGCGTTGTGGAGTGTTCCAAGGTTCATGCAGCCCTGAGGGGCTGGGGGGTTGTAAGGCCCTTAAGGGCCCAGGCCCTTGGTACGGTGGAAAAAAAAACGAATATTCGAACGATCGATGCAAGACGCCCAAGATGGCCCCTAGACGACCCAAGATGCCCCCAAGACGCCCCGAGAGGCCTTCAAGAAACCTTTCGGAAGGGCCCCAAGAGACACAACGCATGCATTGTTTGTAAGTGTTTGAAAGGTTGCTCGCTCTTGGAAGCCTTGAAGAACTTGTTGCGTCTCCGTGAGCTCGTTGGAACCATGGTGCAATTTGGCGCCACGGTCGGCTGGTCGGAATAACCCGAAGGGGGGGCCACGAGGGGAATTGGGGGGGGCACGGGGGGCCAGGGTCGGGCAGGGGGGGGGGGCACGGTCGGTCGGTCGGTCGGAATAAGCAGATGGGGGGGGCCACGAGGGGAAAGGGGGGAGCACGGGGGGCCATGGTCGGGCAAGGGCGGCTGTGCAACTGCGTGCTTCCACGCGTCCTGGATTAATCAACTCTCCTGGCAATTGTTTCTGGTTGGGTTGGTGGGCATTTTTGTGATCGCGACCGCGGCGATGAACAGGTCGGGCGGCGCCAGGGCACTGCAGACAAGCACCGGCCTAAATTAGCACAGAGGAAGAAGAAGGGCGAAAGAGGACAATAACAAGCAAGGGAAGAGACTAACAGGGGGCGAGCCTCGCTGCCGCTCAGGAGGCGCACGCCAGGAGGTACATCCGAGATGCGTGCAGCATCAGGTGGTCACTCGGGTAGCCCATCACGTCCCTGACGAGGAAGACCGCCGGCAAAACGAACAGCAGGCCCAGGTGAAGACGAGGGATGCGGAACCTTGACAGCGAACCACCGTCACAGAGGAAAGATGGGGCATGCAGGCGCTCGACGGAAGCATTCCGGATCGCCAGACACCGAAGGTATCGACGGGGCAGTTTGGAGGGTCCCGACCGGACCGAGCTGCAAGAGGCGGGAGCAAACGGCCAGCGGGCCGGCGGAGGGCGGCGGGAAGCGGAGAGCCGCAAGGGCGGGTGCGAGCCGCACGCGCCGCCCAGGTGGCAGGAGGCACAGCTCAGACTGTATCAGGTGAGCAGCGCGATGGGGGAGGACCAGGCGTCCGTCGACCCCGTTTGGGGAAAGGAGGCAGGCGGCCGGCGAGACGCGTGGCGCGGACCGAAATGGCTGGTGGGGATGCGCGAAGCGGCACGAATCTCCCATAACGGTGTATGAAGCGTGTTCGCTTTCTCGACTTATCTGGCGTCCCACAGCCGTACCACCCCAAAGGCCTCCAATATGGCCGCAAGACTTCCCAAGAGCCCCCGGGATGGCCTCAAGACGGGCCAAGATGGCCCCAAGACGTCCCAAGCGGCCTTCGGGAAGAGCCCAAGAGACTTCCAAGTCGGCCCTAAGCCGCCCCACGAGGGCCCAGAGCCCCCCAAGACGGCCACCCAAAGCGTCAGATGGACCAAGGGAGCTCGGTCTTGGGCCTGCCAGAGGCGCCCAAGAGGCCCCCAGGAAGACCACAGGAGGCCTCAAGAGAGCCTCCAGAGGCCCCGAAGTGCCCCCCTTCTCGTCCTCATTCAAATCCCTCTCCTCCTCCTCCTCCTCCTCCTCTCCTCCTCCTCCTCCCCTCCTCCTCCTCCTCCTCCTCTCATCCATCATCATCATCATCATCATCATCATCATCATCATCATCATCATCATCATCATCATCATCAGCAGCATCATCAGCATCATCAGCATCATCATCCTCATCAATATCATCATAATCATCATCATCATCATCGTCCTCAGCATCCTCAGCATCAGCATCATCATCATCATCATCATCATCACCATCATCATCAGAATCAGCATCAACATCATCATCATCGGCAGCATCATCATCACCAGCAGCATCATCATCAGCATCATCATCATCAGCATCATCATCATCATCAGCATCAGCATCAGCATCAACATCAACATCAGCATCAGCATCATCATCAGCATCAGCATCAGCATCAGCATCAGCATCAGCCTCAGCATCATCATCAGCATCAGCATCATCAGCATCAGCATCAGCATCAGCAGCATCATCATCATCAGCATCATCAGCATCAGCATCAGCATCATCATAATCATCATTATCATTATCATTATCATTATCATCGTCATCGTCATCGTCATCGTCATCGTCATCATCATCATCATCATCATCATCATCATCATCATAATCTCTCTCGCTCTCTCTTCTTTCTTCCTTAATTGTTGTTCAATCTCTCTCTATTGGTACCATACGTAATTTGTTCCTCAAGGGTTTTCACAACGGCTGGGTGAACACAAGGACAAATAGCTTGGCCAAACTCTGGCCCAACATTTGGCCATATAGGCGGTTCCTTAAGGCAGGGGCAGCGGTGGTTCGCCGCAAGCGTCTTCTATAAGCTCCCGCAGACATCCATGAACCCTCGGAACTGGAGGGGGGGGGCAGGGGGGCCGCGAGGTAATCGCCCCCCCCCCCCCCCCCCACCTGCCACGAGTAGAACCTGTCCTTGCGCTCGATGCGGAGCAGGACGGAGAACTTGCTCGCGTAGCTCGGGATCTTCATATTCCCGACGTTTGGTATCGTGCGCTGTACATCTGGATCGACCACCTTCCTAACCTCTACCAGAGCATGGTATGTCCGCCACTCTGGCAGCATGGAGGAAGTATCCGTGGTGAATTCGACCACCTTCATACTCTTGTGGTAGTCGGCGTCATCCTTGTCAGAGCGCCAGACAAACTCGAGCCCCTCCAGGTTCAGCATGTGCCTGTCGAAAGGGAAATTGACCAGGTCGAAGGCCATCCAGCCTTCCATGGTGAATGTGGTCGTGCCCCTCCAGAACAGCGAGTTCGTGGAAGGGGAGAGCTTACTTTGGAAGTTGAGGTCCTTCCAAACCCTACTCTCCTCCACGGTGACGCGCAGGCCGGGCATGCGGATGCCGGGAACCCCGCGCATCGTGACCTCCGCCTGCTCCCCCCGATTCTTGGTGCGAAAAGACCAGAGGCACTTCATCCGCAGCGTGAAGACGCCCTCCTTCGGGTCCACCCTCGTCACGCGTATGCACGCGCGACACCTGACGAGCTCGAGGAACGCCTCGTCGGCGACGTCCCACAGAGCCGACGGGGGCCGCGGCCTGCTCCTGAACTCGGTCTCCCACGAGTCCAGGAGCGGCTCGCTCGGCGGCAGCGCCTCCGAGGCCTCCTTCGTTTCGAGCGCCAGTGCCTCCAGGGCCCCTTTGGTGAAGCGGCCGAGGTCCCCCATCCGCCGCAGCCAGACACGGGGCCGCCGGCACGACGCTCGAGCAACTGGGCGCCCCCAATTGCTTGCACACAGACGGCTATAGGGCTCGTCGGGGCACCTGCCCTGCAGGACACCGGAGCGCGGGCCCGGCAGTGGAGAAGCGCAAACCTCTGGGGAGGCGCGGGGGGCAGCGAAGCCGCCGGGCAGGGAAGCTGGCCCTCCAGGCATCCGGGGACCGGCGAGGCCGATCCTTCTCATCCTCGCAGTCCTCATCCCCCTCCGCCTCGTCCTGCAGAGCGATGAGGGAAAAGGGGCAAGGAGGATGAGGGGCACGGGAGTCCAGGCGGAGAGGGCAGAAGGGAAGGAAGGAAGGAAGACGAGCAGGAACGGAGCTAGATGAGGGGCGTCGAGGACCCCTCGTACGCCCCAAGAGGCGCTTCTCGAAGAGGTTGGAAGGCGGGGGGAGCAGAGCGAACGCGAGCTGGGCATCAAACATGATCGACCCACGGAACCGCAAAGGAATTTATAGTTATGAGGCATGGCAGCGTTTTCAAGACACCTGATTACGAAGGGGACAAAAGACACACACACAAACAAATAGAGACAAATCCCAACATTCCCAACTTTTTTACATATTTTCTGGATGTTCGTCTTCCCGTCCTCTTCCCAGGTGTTCCGTATCTTCGAGGAAATCGACGGTCATTTGTGTCTGTGTGTTTTTCCCTGCTGGGATCAGGCGACGGGCAATTGCAATGCTGAGTGTACCGATCGTGACGTAACGCAAGGCGTTGTGCTGTGCTGTGTCGAACTGTACAGAGTTGAGATGTGCCATGCCGCGATTGTGCTCTATAGAGTTCTGGATCGAGTCGTCTTCAGCATCCTGACCGAACTGCCTGAGCGCATAGCTGGCCCAGAGGTATGTACAATCGAAACGTGCGGGACGCTCAATTCACCAGCCCAACGGGCCAGAGGCGTGCACATGTCTCCTGTAGCAGGATTTGAATGTCAAACTTCGAGCGCCCCCAGAGCGCCCCGAGGGACCCCATAAGGGAGCCCGAAGAGGTCATTCGAGTCGGGATCCATGGGCGACAGGTGCCATGATGGCCTCCGTACATCCCCAGAAAGGCTCAAGATAGCATCCAAAAGGCCAGAATTCATAAATGTTGCCTTGGCGTTTCTAAGTATTTTCGCCTTGTCGATTGTCCGTCCTCCGACCGTCAAAGACGGCCCAGGAGGCCCCCAATCTCGTCCCAAGACAACCCAAGAGGCTCCCAGGAGGGCCCCAAGATGGCCCAAGAGGGCCCAATGCGGCCCACGAGGCTCCCCCAACGGGTCTCCAGAGGCCCCCAAGAGGGCCCCCAGAGGAGACTCCGAACTGCCATTTGAAGCCCTTTCCCTCGAAGATGGCCTCCGAGACCGCCAGCAAGCCCCAAAGGGGCCCCCAAGCGGCCCCCAGAGGCCCCGAAGATTCTGGTGGGCTGCCTCCCCCTGGGGCCTGTTCAGTGCGCCCGCAAGGAAAGTTGGGCAACGCACTCGGTGCGGCCAGCCAGGGGCGCTCGAGAGATCCTGCCCAGACCCCGAGACCCCGCTGGTCGACGCACCAGACCAACCAGGGAGGGAGGGCGGGAAGCATAGGCGACGCCTGCGAAGAGCCCTCGGCCCGCGGCCAAGGCGTCGTCCTGCCAAGCGCCCTCCTGGGGCACCTGATCATCGGGTCCCTTCGGCCCCACGCGGAAGCCAACGGCCATGCGCCCCTTTTGTCAGGCCCTCGGGCCGCCAGGGAGGCGCAACTACCCCCTCGGGGAGGGGGGCCAGTGCCGACACTTGATGTCCCGCCTCGGACACGGGCGGAAAGCAAAACGGCCGAAGCGGTGAATCTTCGAATCCAGCCATGGCGACGAGGACGAAGCCTGCCCGGAATCTTCCTCCCCAGGAACCATGTTCAGGGACGATCAAGACACCCACGCGAGGCCCTACGAAGCCCTCAAGAGGTCCCGAAATTCCGCCACGAGGCTCTCGAGAGGCCTCCCAAGAGACCCCAACACGCCTCCTAATAAGGCCTCTTGTTTGCGACCCAGTCTGGCCAGATGCCACTGCACACTGCGTTCAGCATGGGCCTGCGGAAGGAGCGAAGCAATTGAACTCGGCGGGCTTCCTGCGGGCCCTCGCCGTGCTAGGCGTCGAAGGTAGATGATGACATGGAGGATGACGGAGGAGAGTGGAAAGCATGCCGAAGGCATGCTAAGAGGGGCGTCGCCCACTCCGCCGGCCGGTCATGTTTCGATGAAGCATGTCTTAATCACGTCCCCTGGGGCAGGTAAAGGTACACGAGCGGCGTGTGCTCCCAGCGCCTGGCCCACGTGCGTGACAGCTCCTGGGGCACGCAAGAGCACGAGTGAGATGCGCCATCAGGGCCGCGACATGGCTGCGACGCGGCCTCGGGCACTCCAACGTCACATTCTCCTAGGACGTGCAGGAATGCTTGCGAAACGTGCTCCGATGGCCTCAAATGGCAATTTCGCTCGGGACACCCTCGGCAACGGGTGCTCTGCGCTCCGAGTCTCTCATCCGGCCCCTCAGACGGCTCAGGGGAGCTTGAATTCGGGGCACCCCTCGCGCACTTCGTCTCCCATGGGCACCCAAAAGGCCGCGCGACCCCCCACGGGACGCCAACATGGCCCCAATTACGCTGCCGAGGACGCACATCTACCTATGTTATGTCCTGTATGTACCATCCCAGCTGCCACTACTACCACTACGACCGTCACCGCCACTACTACTTTTACGGACGCGGCAAGGGACGCGCCACGGAACAGGCAGGGCAACGCCAAGGGACGAGCCATGGACCGCGACCCAGGACGAGCCAGGGAACGTGCCAAGGGACGCGCCGGGGCACGCCGCGCCAGGGGACGTCCCAGGGGACGCGCCACAGAACGGGCAGGAGGACGCGCCACGGAACGGGCAGGAGGACGCCAAGGCTGCGCTGTGCCATGCGACGTCGAGCTGCGATGCACGCTAGCGCGCTGTGGATCAGAACCCCTGCTGGGGCCCCCTGGGGCCTCCTGATGCCTCCAGGGGCCTCCTGGGGCCTCCTCGGAAATCCTGATGCCTGCTGTTGCTTCCTGGGGCCTGATTCGAGGCCAGTCCATGGCAACTCACGTGAATCACCAAAAAGATGTGAGGCCAGTCTATAGGGACTTACGTAAACCATCAAGGATATGAGTTCAGCCTATAAGAACACACGTGAACCACACAAGACTTGAGACCAGTCCATAGGAACATCCGTGACACGAGGCCAATCCATAGGAACGAATGTCATAGAAACATGCTACCACCCTATAGGAATAGATGCGTACAACGCACGAGATCTGCTGCAGAGTCATATGAACATCTGTAATAGACGAAAGGCTTGACACCACTCGATAGGAACATCCGTAAAACGCAATGGATCTGAGGCCAGTCCATAGGAACATGCACAACACACTACTTCAGGATTTGAGACCACTCTATCGGAACACACGTGAACACAAAAGGTTGTTTGAGACCATTATGCAGGAACACTCGTGAAGCACAATGAATTTGAGGCCTGTCCATAGGCACATACGTGAACCACTCAGGATGTGAGACCAGTCTATAAGAACCACAGCAGAACACCAAGCAATTGAGACCAGTCTAGAAGAACACACATGAAACACTAAGGGTTTGAGACCGGCCCATAGGAACATGCGCAACACATAACGAAAATTTGAGACATAAGGAGCACACGCTAAAACCACGGATGTAAGACCAATCCATAAGAACAAACGTAAAACATAAAGGAATTGAAGCCAGTCCATAGGAACATACGTAAAACACAGGTGTGAGACCAATGTATGGGAACTTACGTAAACACACAAGGAATTGATACCAGTCTACATACGCAAATCACATTGAATTTAGGGCCGACCCGTACGTACATATGTAAAAGCACTAAAAAGATGTGAGACCAGTCTATGGGAACGCACGTGAAACACGAAGGATTCGAGATCCGTAGCAGCACCGTGGAATTTGAGACAGCTCATCGTAACATGCGTAAGAAAAGCGTCGCGCTCGGGACATCTCCAAACCATTCTGCCGAACAGGCGTTTCTCTCGAGACAGCGTCAAACTCTGCTAAACAAGCGTTTCGCTTGAGACATCCTCCAACACAGTATGTAAGACAAGCGTCTCGCTCGGGATATCCCCAACATTTTAACAGCCTCCTGGGGTGTCCAGGTCCCTCCTGAAGCCTCCTGGGGCCTCCGCACTCCGCCCTTTGCAGGGGGCTTCTGAACGCGGGGCGCGCCTTTCTCGAGCGGGCACGCGCAAAACAAATTTGTGTCACGTGTGATCGCGAATTTCATGGAGATTCCAACGCACCCCTCACGAGGATTCAGCGCAAAACGTTCCGCACATGTTTTATGGGACGCACAGGGACATACTAACACTATATGTATTCCTTGGAGGCGCGCGTCCGACCCAAACATATAGTATACCCATCTTGTAGTATATCGTTTCCCGAGCGGCGTGGCCAGTAAGCGCCCGCCACGACGCATATACTATAAGATTTCTCGGTACGCGCATCGCCCCCCGGGGGGCGACGCACATATAGTATAAGTATGTTGGGGTGACGCCGATTTTACGAGGGACTCAAGAAAAGAGGGTACATTGACATCACCCTGTTCTTTATCGAGCGGAATTTTGCCGACTCTACGCATGTTGAGGGCCAGGGCAGTGGAACCCAATTGAAAGAGAACTCTGGGCCGGAGGCCTTTTTCCCGAAACGGGCATGGGCAGTTTTGCGGCGCTGCTGCATGGGCAGTGGAGCCAAACACCTTCTGGGATCGTCACGAGACGGGGGTCGGAAAACAGCTTGGGGCAGGATGACCACATGCCGCGGATAATAAAGGTGACCCCCCCCCGTCGCCCTCTATCTGATTTCCATGGAGTGTAATGTTCATATTGCCACAAGAGGCGCGGTTGGGGGGGGGGGGAATTTATAATCATCCCCGAAGTTCGCTTCGTGGCTCTGATCGTCATATGATGCATAGCACCATGAGCAATTATCATCATCAATTTCATGCGGATATATGAAGCGAAACTCAAGGTTACGAAATTTCGCTACGCTCGCGACCAGCAGCTTTTCGAGGATGTCTCGAGCAAAACGCTTGGTGTAAGAAGTACTTTCGCGAACGTGTTAGTTTCGCGTTGATGTTTCAAGCGAAACGCTTAATGTTTCTAGCTTCTCCTCCCCTTCTTCTGTCTCCATTTTGACATTACAACATCGATACCTCCATTACTATCCTCCCAAGACCCCGAACCTTATTATCCCAAGGGTGCGATTCTCACCAACATAGTTGGGCGCCCGAGTTATCCGGGGTAACTCGGGTCCGGGGTAACTCGGGTTTGGATTCCCGAAAAAGGAACCCGAGTTACCCCTGACCCGAGTTAACCCTGATGAATCGGGGCTCTGGACGCCCGAATTATCCGGGGTAACTCGGGTCCGGGGTAACTCGGGTTCGGATTCCCGAAAAACGAACCCGAGTTAACCCTGACCCGAGTTACCCCTGATGATTCGGGGCTCTGACATAGAGTGACTGCGGACACAAAGCAGGACGGAAAAGGATGTCCCGGAGGACAAGAGGGAAACAAGTGGACAAGAAAGAAAGATTACGTGGTAGCCCCCGCCCCAACTCCCCCCCTCCGCTTGCTGAGGGCAGCGATCACCTTCCGCAGCACGAACAGGGACTGGTTCACATTGACCGCCTCGTGGAAACGCCTGGCGTTCCTGGGCTAGGGCGGATGGGGGCACCACTTGGGCGCGGTCGCGCGGGGAGGGGGCATGTGCGACGCGCGAAGAGGGATAGAGAGCGAAGGGGGGGAGGTGCCCAGAGGCCCCAGGCACCCGCAACGCCCGAGCCTCCAGAGGCGGAGAAATCCGGCATTCCGCAGGGGCGAGACGCGGAGTGCACACCGCAGGGTCTTGCCACGAGTGGCCAGACCTCCATCGCCCGTGCTTCGCGACGGTTTTGGCAGCAGGCCCCCCGTGGGGAACGGACAGGAGGAGGCGGGGAGAAAACGGAGACGGGGAAGTCCAGCGTGCGGAGGGCGCGGGTCTCCACCGTACGCCCGACCGCGGCAAGATACACCCGCGGACGCGCGGGCGCTCACGCCCTCCCCGAGGAAGCCGAACGCGAACACGACGTCGTCGCGATGATTCAAATCCAGGGTGGCATCGACCTTCTGTTGTGGAGCATCATCTTGTGGAGGCCCTTTTGTCGGGGGGCGCCGAGACTGAATCCCCTGCCGCCCCGATTTCCAGACGCCCCGAAACCACCCAGCGAGTCTGGGCTCCCTTGGCGGCCTTCATGTACTTGAACCGGTCCGACAGGAACGTTGAGCTCGTGTGTATCGCGAGGAGGACCGGACTCACCATGTTAATCAGGTGGATCAACATGCGATGGAGCACCCTCTTTGCGCTGAGGAGCTGGAGGTAGACGCGAGGAACGGAAGAGACGGAAGGACACCAACCTCGGAGCTCTTCGTAAAGAGCTCGACGTCGGGCCAGCTCACCTTCACGCACATCGGGGTCATGCTGGCTGATAGTTGCGATCGGCGCGCCCCTCTGCTGGGCCCAAACGGCCAAGCGTTCGCGCAGAGCTCCTCGGCAACCAGGCGGGGGAGATCACTGTAAGTATCATTGTCGGCGTTCGCGAAGACATGGTCGCATTCGGCACGCTGAAGTTGGGCTGTGGCGAACGGGATGCACGGCGCCAGCCAGCGCTTGAAAGTGCCCGCGTGCTCGGCGTGGTAGATGACGCACGGAACCCAGGGCTCTGCGATGTGCGCCACCGCCCAATCAAGCCAGGAACGGTCGTCGCAGTCGGCTTCCTCCGAGGGGAACGCCGCCAAGATAATCTCGGGGGTGACTTCCGCGTTCAACACTTGCCCTCCGGCCAGCGCACACTCTTGACCCTCGCCATGCACGCCGCCCCCAGATGGGCAGGCTTGGCTACCGCGAGGCAATTGCCGAATAGCAAGCACGAGCTGCTCCGCGCGGTGGACGGCTTCGTCGCGCCGAAGTGCAGGTCATGAACCACGCCGTCATCATGTCCATCTTTGTGGTCGCCAAGTCCCTGTAGAGTCTCTCGCCCGCTGTGGTCAGGGATCGGCAATCGTCATCTTCCGCCTCCTGGCATGCCTCCTCAGCCGCGTTCCCCCCCTCAGCTTCTCCGCGCCATCCAGGTGCTCCATGCCATCCTGGTCCTTCTCATGCGCCTAGCGCATCGAGATGGGGCTACTGTCGTTGGAGTCCAAGCCCACGTGGGTCGCCGGGCCCTCCCAGGGATTCTGGCCGCCAGCCCCTTGTTGTCCGTCTGTTACGAGTCTGGCGGGCGGGAGGGGGCCGCCGTCATCCTCATCGCCTTCACCATCACCACCATCAGCAGCATCATCATCACCATCATCATCATCATCATCATCATCATCATCACCATGAACATCAACATCATCGTCATCGTCGTCATCATCATCATCACCATCATTATCATCATCAGCATCATCAGTATGATCAGTATGATCATCATCATCGTCATGACCATCATCATCTCAGTCGTCGTCATCATCATTAGCGAAACTACCACCATCACTATCATCATCACCATCAGCACCATCAATATCATCAACATCCTCCTCCTACTCATCATCATCACCATCACCATCACGATCATCATCAGCATCGTCATCATCATCACCATTATCATGATCGCCATCATCATCTCCGTCGTCGTCATCATCGTCAGCGTCACCACCACCATGAGCATCAAAAGCATGATCAGCATCATCATCGTCGTCGGCGAACTCATCGTCATAATCCTCCTCCTCCTCCTCCTCCTCCTCTTCATCGTCATCATCGTTATCACCATCACCAGCATCATCATCATCACCACCACCATCGCCGTGACCATCACTATCACCATCCTCATTCGCATCCTCATTTTCACCCTGATCCTCACCTTCATCCTCATCCTCATCCTCAACCTCATCCTGATCCCAATCCTCATCCTCATCCTCATCATCATCACCACCACCATCACCATCACCATCACCATCACAATCACCATCATCATCATCATCATCACCATCATCATCATCAGTATCATCAACATCCTTTCTGAATAATCATCATCAGCACCACCATTATCATCATCAGCATCATCAGCATGATCATCATCATCATCAGCATCCTCATCACCATCACCATCACCATCATCAGCATCAGCATCATCATCATAATGATGATCGCCATCATCATTACCATCATCATCATCATCACCATCACCAGCACCATCAACATCACTATCACCATTACAATCACCATCAACATCATCACCATCATCATCATCATCATTATCATCAACATCCTATCTATCATAATCATCATCAGCACCACCGTTATCATCATCAGCATCATCAGCATGATCAGCATCCTCATCACCACCACCACCACCATCATCAGCATCAGCATCAGCATCAGCATCAGCATCAACATCAGCATCAACATCAGCATCAGCATCAGCATCATCATCATCATCATCATCATCATCATCATCATCATCATCATCATCATCATCATCATCATCGTCAGCATCATTATCATCATCATCATCATCATCATCATCATCATCATCATCATCATCATCATCATCATCATCATCATCATCATCCTCATCCTCATCCTCGTCCTCATCCTCGCCCTCAATGTCGGCGGCGGCGGCGGCGGCTTCGCCGTCGTCCTCGGCGTCGTCTGCGTCGTCGTCACCATCGGCGCCGGGGGAGGGGCAGCCTCCCGAGGCCCACTTGGAGCCCATCCCTGGGAGGGGCGCCGGGGGAGGGGCAGCCTCCCCGCCCAGGCCGCGCAGGGCGCGGGGCGCCGCACGCGAACCTGCAGGCCAGACGGGCACCTCCCGAGGCCCACTTGGAGCCCATCCCTGGGACCCCTCCCGAGGCCTGTCCTGCCAGGCTCGGCTGCGCGCACAGGGGGGCGGAGGAGGCCCGAGGCTCGAGGAGGGAGGCCCGAGGTTCAAGGCTCGAGGCCTCTGGGCTGCCTCCCTCGGTCCCCGCTCGGCCTCCGTCGGCGGCGGCAGCGCACGGCGCGGTGAGGCAAGACGAGCGGGGCGAGCGCAGGGAAGAGCAGAGGGCGACTGGCGGCGCGCACAAGGGGGTAGGGGGCTTCACCCCCCCATACGCCCCTTAGCGCGTGGCCGACACCGCGCCGACGCTTCCTGGCGGCACGCGAGACCCGGCAGGAGCAAGGGAAAGCGACACCACCACCACCACCACCACCACCACCACCACCACCACCACCACCACCACCACCACCACCACCACCACCACCACCACCACCACCACCACCACCACCACCACCACCACCACCACCATCCGGGACCACCAGCGGGAGGAGCCATGGCGGGGCCTCCCTGTTGGCGTGGTGCCCCCCCCTCTCGCTCGAGATCTCCCCTGTGTGCAGCTCGGGGAGGCACCGTGGACCTCGTCGCTGGAGGTGGCCCCTCTGGTGGCGGTGGTGTTGGCTCTGCTCTCCCCGGCAGCGTCTCGTCTGCCGAGTGTTCCGAGCTGCGCCCTGCCGTGGCCACGCGGACCCCCCGGCAGTGAGGGCGGGGGGGGGGCCGACTGCCTGCCAGACGATCCCAACCCAACCCGACGACCCGAATTGCCGTTGGGAGGGGGGTACGGTTTCCATATGTGTTTCCTCAACGTGCCCCGACCCCCCCCCACTGGAAATGGAGGGCAGATTGGGGTCTTTGGGTTGGATTGGGGTGGTGTGGTGGGTGGTGAGGGGCACCAGGGGGAAACCAGCTCGGGGGGGGGGCAGAAACATCGAGCTGGACTCGGCGAGCACATCGGCGATAGGCTCTCGATGGTGCAGCCGCGCACGAGCCTGGGTGGGGTGGGCGATCGGCCCCGATCGGCGATCAATGGGCGGTTGGGGGTCCATGCAAACCCCCCCTGAGCCTGTCCTCCCTGAACAACACCCCCGAAGAGGGCCCAGCAAAGACAGAGACATCACAACTGTCGAAAGTCGATCCTCGGAGCGTCCTGAGAACGCGCTGGAACGACTTGAGCGCGAACCTCTTTGACTGCTTTCCTGTCACAACTTCGACTCCAAGAGGGAGGTATGGATCCTTGCCCCAGGACGAGTTTGTATCCTGAATACCTGTTTGACGGTTCCGGGACGTGGTCAGGACCCCATCTGCACAGAAGAACAACCGCATAAACAGAACTTTCTGAGGTCCGCACAAAGTTCTCGGATTGGCGCTGGACCCCTTCCCTGGTGCACAGAGCGCGCCAGGGGCGGCGCTGGAGGCGCCGCCAGGGGGGCTGGCTGCCGATCTGAGCAAACCGCGCGGAGCTCCGAATGTTTATGTTTATGCCGTGTTTTGTTCCTCGATGAAAAAAGAAAGAAGAAACACCAGCAAACGGGCTGCCCGAGAGCATTAAAACATGGCTAGGATCGGGATAAATCGCTCCAGAGCGTTCCGGAGCGCTCTCAGAGCGTTCCGGAACGCTCTGGAGCGGCCGCGGCGCCCAATACATCCTCCAAACCCGCCGGTTCTCAGAGATTTCGAGTCATCCCGATCCGATTTTGTCTCGATTTTCGCGTCGTTTGAGCATCCCCGCGGCCCGGCGGGTCGCTCCTGTCACCACCGGCGGCCGAGTTGGAGGCCGACGCGCGCTCGGAGCCGGCCAGGTCCACGAGCGCGAGCTTCGACACCACCTGCCGCGGGAGGCCCACGGGCGCCTTCTCCAGATCTCTGGCGACTGATGTTTTCGGCCGGCGGGTTTTTCTCGATTTCTGCCCTGGGGAGCCACTGTCGGCCATGGGGCCATTCACAACTGATCCGGTGGGAAAATCTACACGCCGGGAATCGGTCGGGACCTCTACTAGAGGGCGTCGTCGACTTCTTCCTCCTAGCCTTCGTTCTCGACGTCCTCGTCGTCGTCGTCGTCGTCGCTGTCCACCTGGCCCCCCTGGCCCCATCTACAGTAGAAAACCGAATCCCCGACACAAGCCGAATCCATAGATTCTCTGATTAGGGCCGCATATTGAAACATCAAATCAGCGGGTATCAGGAGCAGTGCCGAGTCGGGCGAAGAGGGGGCAAATGATGAAGGTGAGTTGCGACATCTGCTGCATGCAACTGGCTTCGGACCCTTGGCGTTTCTGGCGCCAGGAGTGCGTCGAGATGACCAGCTACTGGGGTAAGGGGGAGATGTCAGAGGGGGCGTTAACTAGCGAAT